CATATCTTTTGAAATGGCTCATAACCTTAATTCCAAAAATCTAGACAGTAAACCAGGATGGAAATTTTGTCACTCATGTCAGGGCGCGACAAATCGACGAACGTGCAAACGTTTGTTAAAAAAAAGACAGAAAAACGAACGTTACGTTTCCTTACTTTTACTTAAGCAAACGTTGGCGTTCGCTTAAATCTTTTAAAAACAAACGCATATCTTCAGCACTTTTTTATTTCCAAATAATTATGCGATTGATAGTTTTTTATTTATTATAAAAAAAAACAAAATTAATATAAAAAAATAAGTTACTAAAATTTAAAACGCAGTTTCAATGACATTAAAAGAAACCGCGCTAATACTTTCTTCAATAGCATTTCTTTAAAGTATGCAACTGCAGAAAAAATTATATTTAGCATGGTTTTTACATGCGTTTACAAAAGAATGGCAAGTTTCACTTAAAATGAATGCATTTGCAATTACTTTAAACAGAACCATGCTAAAACATTCTTTTTCCAAAGGCGTGCTTTTTTTAAATTTTCTTATTATCATTAAAATAATGTTTATTTGCTGTTTTTAAAGTTTTAAAAAAATTTGCAGAAATATATAAAATTTAATAGATTTTATAGAACTATTATGTTGATTATAGTTTTCATTTTTTACTGTGCGTTTAACAACAACCAATAATATAATATTTTTTTATTAAATACTTAATACTATAAATATTTATTATATTTATAATATTGAGTATTTAATAAAAAAATATTATATTATTGGTTGTATAATAATATATAATAATGTATAATAATAGCATATCAATAATAATGTATAATAATAGCATATCAGGTATTTGATAGTAACTTATTAAATTATAAATTTAATAACTTATTAAATGCTTAATACTATATTATTATTTTTAAATATTTAAAAAATAAAAATGTCAAAATAACATTTATTTTATTTTTATATAGTTCCCTTTTATTTAAATTTTATCAAGTTTATATCTTTTTTTTATAATTTAACAAACTAAATTGAGAAAAATTCACTATTTTGTATTAATAGATAACAGTTTACAGACAAAAGGTTATTGCATCATTAATTTATAATTAATTTGCGCACACTTTGCAAATGCGTGAAAAATTGTTTTAAATTAATAAAAATTGATAAAATTCGATAACTATCTTTGATATATCTAATTATTATATATCTTATTAACTAGAATAAAATTAATTTGAAAATAAAACTCCCTTATAATTAAATAAAAAAACTATTTAAATAAAAAAAAAAAAAAATTAAAGAAGTTAAAATGAAACTGGCTTATTCTGGCCGACACACGGGTTCGAAGTGGAGGTGGGCAACCATCTATTAATGAAAAAAGTCCTATATATCTTGAATTTCTCTTAAATAAAAAAAAATATATAAAAAAAATTAAAAAAAGTGTTTGTGTGGAGGGAAGGGGGGTGGATATTTAATATATCTCTTAAATTAGACGTTCGTCAATAAATAAAGAAACGAACGTCAACGTTTATTAAAAAAAAACGATTTTTCGCGCTCTGCATGTATTCAGTTTTTGTCAAATCGTGAAGTTTCTGATAATGAAATGGATTGTGAAATTGATGGTGATATATTATTTGTTAAAGATAAATTTTGTAATAAACAACAGTGAGACAACTCTTTAATATCAATTGGAGTCTCACCAATTAAAGTTCATGGTGTCGCAAAGCATCAACGAGTTGTAACAGCAAAAAGAAAATTAGTCAAAGCCTACACAAAAATGGAAGAAGGTGTAGCAAGTGCTTATGGAGTAAATATAGATAACTTAAGTGTAGCCTCGATTTTTTTCAGTCATCCTATGGATAAAAAAAAAGCAAATGATCTTGATCATTTGACAACTTTAATGAAAGAAAAACTTAAAGTTGAACCATTTTAAAAAAAATTCAAATGTAACACTTACACCTGAATCTTGGTCTAGAAAATACGCTTCAGAATATTTTGAAGTTTCTGAACATCTTATACGACGTGCTAGGAAACTTAAAAGTGAAAATGGAATTCTTGCTATACCTGATAAGAAAATAGGCCAAAAAACACCTGACTTTCTTACAGCTTTGGTTCAAGATTTTTTTCAACAAGATGAACATTCTAGAATTATGCCTGGTAAAAAAGATTGTGTTAAAGTTAAAAGTGGTGCTCCACAACAAAAAAGATTATTATTGTGCAACCTTCATGAGCTTTATACTGATTTTAAAAGTAAATACCCTAATTATAAAATAGGATTTTCAAAGTTTTGTAGTTTGCGTCCAAAATGGTATATTAGTGTGGGACCAAATGGTACACACTCTGTATGTGTTTGTATTCACCATCAAAACTCAATATTGCTTGTAAATGCTGTCCAATGGAATGTTACATACAAAGATTAAATGTCAAAATTAGTATGTGATACAAGCAATAATGAATGCATGGTTCATAGATGTCCCAAATGTCCAGGTTATGATAACTTAAAGACATTTGTAGATGAGGAACTAATTGAGATTGATGAAGAAGAAGAAATTCAATTCAACCAATGGCAAAGTACTGATAGATCACAATTAATTACTCAATCATTTAACTTATTTGAATATAAAGAACTAGTTGTTTCTCACATTAATCATCTAACTTCACATTCATGTATTGCTAAATGCCAAACTCGCTATTTGAAAAAACTAAAAAATAATTTAGGTTACAATGAATGTATTATACAGGCAGATTTTGCAGAGAACTATCAATTTGTTATACAGGATAAAATACAAAGTTATCATTGGAATAAACAACAATGTACACTTCATCCTGTTGTTATATACTTTAAGGAATTTTCTAAAACAAATATTTAGCATAAGTCATTCTGTTTTTTAAGTGATGACAATGATCATGATACATGCTTTGTGTATGAATTTCAAAAGAAAATTGTAGAGTACATAAAGGAATATTTAGTTGGTATCAATAAAATTTATTATTTTTCTGATGGATGTTCTGCTCATTATAAAAACTATAAAAACTTTATAAATCTATGCCACCATAAGGAAGATTTCAAGATAACAGCTTAATGGGTATTTTTTGCAACCAGCCATGGAAAATCCACTTGTGATGGCATAGGTGGTATCGTTAAAATAATAACAGCAAGAGCAAGTTTGCAAAGGGCATTGGAAAACCAAAACTGTTTTAGTTGCAAAACTGTCAAATTACCACATTTTTTTTCTTGTTTAATTTGTCATAACACCTGTTTTTTAAGCAATAAATTTAAGTAGATTTGACCATATTTTTATTTCTGTTTTAGAAAAGACCACTCTCCAATTCTTTGTAGTAACTATAGCTTAACTATTCAGGACAACTTCTAAAAAAAAAAAAAATCAAGCTACATCGGCATTTTTGTGATTGGACTTGCCCCAGTAAAATTGTAGTAAACGTTAAAATTTTAGGTGTTATGCTTGTTTTAAAATATTTTAAGTTGTTTCATTAGATTCGTTGGCCCAAAATATGTAAAGGTACAAATTTTCAGCTTTCCAACACACATATAACAATAACTAGGACCAAAACCATTTTTAAAAATGGCGGATTTTTGTTGGTTGGAGGCAAACTTAAAATAGCTATATCTTAGGAACCGATGTAAATTAGACGATAAAATTTTCAGGATGTTCATAATTTACTAAAATCTTTGACTGGTTTAAAAATCAGCAAAACCTGAGACTTATGGTTGCATTTTCAAAAAAAATTGGATGTTTTCACATGGAATCTCCCCATAGTCAACAAAATATCATACAGACAGTATAATATTTTAAAATTGCCTTAACTACACTGAGTACTTTAAAAAATTTAAAAGGTAAAAACAAATATAACAAAAAGTTGCAAATATACTTTCAAAGGAGGCATGAATGACTGTTCTCTAAGCCAATAATATTGTTGATAACTTATTATATATAACTTAGCCAAACACTATATTTAATGAATCTTACTTGGTTCTAAGAATCTTTTGAAATTTGATCATTAAAATTACTATTTTCCATTGGAAAAAACTATACATAATTAGAATATTAGGATAAAGGACCTGGGATGAAAGGGAAGAAAATAATTTTATCTCGCTCAACTTAAGGTTCTGTTAATAAAGTTTTTCTTAAGATATTAGTTTACTTGGTCTAAACTGTTCCACATACATGTTTGCCCCATGAGAAAATTCACTATCTTAAAGTTAACAAAAACGATCCATTTAAAATTGAGATTAGACTTCTATAAAATTAACTCAATTTCTTTCAGAGATGTTGAAGGACTGAGAGGTAAACCAATACAAATTTTCATACAATATATTACAAACAATAAATATTTTAAATTACGCTTAGAAGTGGTTTATGGTTTGTATTCTTCAATGCCATGTTTATTAAGAAACCTACTGACATCTCTGCAGTAAACCAGCTTCTACTCTTTGGTGAAGAAAGAAAGGAAGTAACAAGCTAACTCTTTTTTAGTTTGGAAGCCAGCAGTTCAGTTCACAAAATAGCATCTACTGGATTATTGGCTCCGGCCATATCATTGGTACAGAAAACTTCTTCCAGTCATTATCTTAAATGCTCTGTAAATTGTTTGCAGACACTACGTAATGCTCAACATATATCTTTGTCTCAAAATTAACCACTTTTTCAACAAAATTAACCTTCATTTTAATCTGATAAGTCAATGAAGGTTAATTTTCAATTCAGGAGAACTATTTGATGTAGAAACGATGTTTATTTTATAAACACTAAAAAACTTGTTAACCAGTATAATTATTAAAATTTTAACAGACTATAAAAATATACATTTTAGTTTATGTTTTATAAACATTAAAATCAAAAAAATATATATTTTTTTTGCATTGATTTTCTTTTAAAAAGTAAGAACAGGGGAATTAGTAAGTTGGAAAAACTATAATATCTGAAATGAAATAATTAATAAATAACAAAAATTATACAAATAAATTGTTTTTAAACAAAAAACTTCAAAACCTGGCCATCAACATAGTCACCATTGCTGAGAGAATAATTTAAAGAAAACTTTTTCATGTAGCTATTTGAAGCATCTCCACAACCTTGAAGAGCAATGCCATTAACAGCTGTTATGTTTTCAAATTGAACCTAAACGTTACAAAGTAATTTTAACAAAGCAAGTAAATATAATATGCATTATTATAAAAATTTAATAATAGAAGATAAAATAGTTAAAATAGTATTTCTCTTTATTTAAAAATTTATATAAAAATAAAAGTAAAAAGTTTTTAATAGTTTTGTTCAAAATTTTATAAGCTTTTTAATAATGTATAACATTATATACCTAGGATTTTTTCTTTGAAAGATATTTATGTTTTTCTAAGAATCCATAAAAAGTTTCTATTTTTCGGCCAAGTCGAAAGAGTTAATAATGGCAACAAAGGTTCTAATCTAATATATAAATTATATTGCTTTTTAGATATTTTTTTGAATCAAAGTTGCATAAGAAAGAGCATTTACTTTTTTCTTAATTCCAGGTATTTCAAAATTTATCCCACAAATTTATCAGTGACAAACCCAGAGTTTATTTGGGGATACCGCTTTTATTTTGGTGACATTGGGAGAGGGGGTGATATTCTTGAGATTTCCCACTTTCCCTCCCCCCCTTCTTCCCTAGTTAAAACTCGTGCCGCAACGATAATTTTTAAATCATATTTTTATTCATCATTTTTATCATTTGTGTTTACCTTATTTAGTTTTATCTAAAAATAAATGGTTGATTTAAAAGCATTTCTTTGAATACATGAATTTACCATCGGATGTTACTTTGTTACTTGAGTTATTTAAAAAAAACTAATTTAATTTAATAAAAATAATTTAATAAACGCTTTTGTTGCAATTACCATTCTATTTGTCATTAAATTATTGAAAATTGTTCAAAGTATTTTACACATTTATTAACCAATTTTATTAAAATTAAATTTAGTAATTAATTGTTTAAATACTTTTAACAATTTTTAATCAATAATTTAACCCTCGGAGTAAGGAAAAATGTGGTCGGAAAATTATTGCTGACCTCAATCTTTTTTAGGTCAGCATCAGGTCAGCAAAAATTATTTGATACAAAGGTCTAACCATAAAACATAGAAACGAGGTCAGCAATTTTTTGCCAACCTCAAAGTCTTTCCTGAAAGTTTTTTTTCCTGAAAGTGTTGGCAGTTAGGTCTCGACTCAACTGCTGACACTTTCAGGTCAGCAGTTAGGTCGGCATTGCCTAATGCCGACCTAACTGCTGACCCTAATTCCGAGGGTTGATAATTACATTAGTTATAGTTATTCAAATACAAGGCATAAATCTATTTTGTTAATTTTACAAATATTACCCAAAAAATACATTAAAAATTGCGTAATATTTGTAAAATTAAAATTAACTATTTGAATTAAAAACAATAACTATTTAATAAACATATTATTACTCTAATTTTAAGATTTTAATTTTAGTATGAGTAAATCTGTTCATTTAACTTTCATTAAAACTTTAAAGTGATTTTAGGGCACCTTTTAAATTAAAGATTATTAAAGAAGAGATAATTACGGTAAACATAATTTTTAAAATGCTATATTTTTTGAATAAAAATTATTTATTTTTAAAGTTATATTATATTTTTTTAGTTATTAAGTATAATTAAAAAATTACATTCAATAAACAAGTTTTATTTACTATGGACTTTTTTAAACATTAAAGACATTGAAGTTTAAAAATAACTAGATCTTAATAAAACACTTATTAAGTTATTGTAATCGTTATGTTTATTATTTTTTAAGTCAAAAAGTATATGGAAAAGAAACAAAACTTTCTGAAAAAGTTTAAGTTTCATTTTTTTGTTTTCCTCACGTAAACTAAAATAGCAAGCTAAAGGTCAAAAGTTCATTCATTCAAAAAATAATTACATGATAGTTAAAAAGACTGAAATTTTTTACTTTAGTACATCAAAAGCAGTTCCCCAGCCGGCACATCTGGTATTGTAAATAATCAGAGTATTTATCACATATTATATTCCGCTGTTGATACCAGAAAATTTTTAATATACAGTTTTGTTCAAATATAAACATTAAACAAAAAAATTAAAATTAAGGCGCAGAACGCATGCGTACACTAAATTCTCTAGATCAAAGTCAAATTAAACAAGTAGTTTAGTGAAAAGACGTCATTTAATTTATGCAACTTTTAAAATTGTCTAAAATTATTATCTTGTTTTAATAAAAACTTATATTCTATAACTATATTCTGTCAGGAAAATTTAGGTATATAGAAGCTATATTCTGTCAAAAATATTCAGGTATATACAAGAAGCTATATGAAAAGTCTTCATATAGCTTTTGTGATATATGTGAAATGTTTTAGCAGAACAATATTTTTTCAGAAAAGATAGTCTTTTGATAAAGCATTTCACTTGTATCAGTGCTTTTTTCATTAATATAATATTATATAATACAATATATAATTAATACTATATAATTAAGTTATATAATATCAAGTTCATTAATATAATATTAAGTTATAATAAATTATTTTGATCCTTGTTATATTTATTATTATTAATTTATTATTGTTATCGTTATTATTACTATTATATTATTATCATTATTGTTATTATTATTATGCTATAATTTATAACATCATAGATTTTTACACGTCATTTTTTTATAACTGTTTATAAATGTCCTGCACGATTGTATATATATACAGTTATTATTAAAATGAAAATATATTGATTTGATTTGATTTGATATCAAGTTCATTAATATATAATTAAGTTATAAGAAAAGATATCGTTCAGTTTAAAGCACTATTTTAGTTATCATATGATATTATTAAATGATGTTATCATTTACAACTGAAACAGAAATATATTTGCTATCACATAATATATGTGATAACAGCTATTAGATACAAAAAAAAACTTAAACCTTGATAATAGGTTTAACGTTTTTTTTTAACAATATTTTATAACAATATTTACTGTTCTGCCAAAGTATTATTAGATATACAAAACATATCAGTGCAAACTGTAATGGAGGTGTACCTACATAGATATATTAGATATATTACATAATATGTTGTCGAGTTCATTAGATGAACTGTTACCTGAAGATCTTTTGCCACCAAAAATAAGTAAAAATGATTTAAAAGAATTTTATCTCTGTAAATTGAATATATAAGTGATAGTCAAAATAGAGTATCAAATATGGTTGGTTTTTCTGGTGATGTTGAGTTCAGTGATACTGATTCTGAACCAAACCAGTGTATGTTATACACAATTAAATAAGAGATGCAGTAAACAATATACTACTAACACTAATGCAGTCTAGAAAATTTGAAAAATGTAACATACCAAAGCATTAACTAGAACTCCACATTATATTGTATCCACATTGTACAGAGCAAGTGTAATAGCATCTAACTTACAAAAGTTTGAAGTAGAAATTACCTTTATAACTATTGATGTAAATACTGATGGACTTCCTATTCAGTGCTCAAATAGTTAGCAATTGGAGCCAATTTTTTGTTCAATAGTAAAATATAGTATCTTGTCCTTTTCCAGTGGCAATTTATATTGGAAATGAAATGCCATCAAGTTTTCACGACACAATTTTATTTACAAGATTTTGAAGCAGAAATTATTAATCTAACAATTAATAGGTTAATTAATATTGAAAAACATGAATTTATTTTACATTGTTTTATTTGTGATGCTTCAGCATATGCATTTGTTAGATGTTCACACATCAAAAAATGAGTGTGATGATTTTAATTATTCTATCACAGAAGTTTACCAAAAATGGTGAAATTTAAATCAAAAATTTGTATTTTCAAAAGCTTTGAGAAAGATCAGAAATGACTGATTTTAAATCAAATGCTGGAAATCAGTCTACTGCATATTAGAAGTACAAGAAGTCTTTTTAAACAAGAACATAATTTCGTCAATTTATCTTATATACAAGAAATATTGTGTTTGAAAAAGTTTTAGACAATGAAGTTTAAAATCTGTTAATTGCATTTGCTGTAACTGTAAGAATTTTAAACAAAGAGAATGATAATAACAGAAATTAATTGCTACCATTTGCTAAATGCCTTTTTTGCTACTGTAATTTTTAAAGTTCATAACTTGTTTCATATTGTTGATGGTTTAAATGTTATAGTTGTTCTGTAAATGATACAAATGCATTTAAATTTGAAAACTTACAATATTAAAAAAATATATATATATATGAAATGCAAAATATAATGTAGCTAAATGATTTAATAGAGGCTCTATTCTTTTAAACCCTTCAGGGTAAAATATAAAATGTACAATTATCAAAACTTTAATTTATAAAAGGAACAAATACATCTCTAAAAATGGAATCTTTAAAAAGAGAGTATTTACATATAAAGATAAAAAACTTGATATCATAAATAGATCTCTATGTATTGAAAAGTAATGAAAACTCTTGCAGTTTCTTAACAACATCAGTTTTAAAAATTTAACTAAAATTATATATACCTAATAATAAATACAAAATAAACTTACTAATTTAGATATACAATAAGTTATTATTTGAATTTATCTATTTATTGTATGTTAAAGTTGTTAATGACATGTGTATTATTAAAAATTTTATTAAACAAACAAAAATTAGAATTTTTTTATATTGTTTTTAAACTTTGCTTTTACATATCTAGTTATATAGTGTTATACAAAATATAAAGTTCTTTGCTGTTTGTCTTCTTAAGGATGATGATGAAGGCAAAATGAGAAGCAAAGAATACAGACAGGTAAAACTAACTCAAATGAAACTTTTTATATTTTGTGGATGTGGTATGTGTCTCACTTTAAACTGATTGCATGCATTCAAATTTAAGCAAGAAGTTTTCCTTTGACTAAATTAATTTCTTTTTTACTGATTTCTTAAATTTGGAAGAACTATTCAAAAACATTAGAAGTTTTAGTTTTCTTTGAAATCGTCCTTCTTTATGATGTACAACCAAAGGCAAATGCCGTCAAATCTTTCAATTAAATGGATTTCAATTGTTTGCCTATTAAATTTTGTAATAACAGTAATTTGTAAGAGATAATACATTTATATAATTAAAGGTAAATAATAC